TACGTGGCCTTGGGGTCCATATTCCGGTCACAATTCTGAACTCATTCTGATAAGTCGTCTATGAGAGGTTTCGAAAAATTCACGAAGCTCGAGAATCAGTTTAATTGGTAGACCACTTTTACGGATGTTCCGAATCTCCCAGTGGACCATTACTTGGTACTTTGGGTCCTTATCCAGGTCACAATTCCTAATTTATTATGATAAGATGTCTATGATTGGTTTAAAAACAAAACATGAAGCTCTAGGATCAGTTTCATGAACTGATCACTTTTACGGATGTTCCGGATCTTTCGAAGGACCATTATTACGTGGTCCCCAGGGTCCATATTTCGGTCACAACTCCAAAATCATTCTGTTCTGATAAGACGTTTATGAGCGGTTTCGAAAAAAAACGTAATAGTAGAGGATCAGTTTCATGAATTGACCAATTTTCCTGATGTTCCGAATCTTCCGGAGGGTCCCAGGGTCCATATTCCGGTCACAACTCTGAATTTATTCTGATAAGTCGTCTATGATAAATTTAAAAAATGCGTGGAGCCGTAGGATCAGTTTCATGAGTTGACCACTTTTACGGATGTTCCGGATCTTCCAGAGGACCATTATGTGGTCCCCAGGATCCATATTCCGGTCGCAACTTCGAATTCATTCTGATAAGATGTCTATGAGTGATTTCGACAAATTCGCGAAGCTCTAGCAACAATCAATACGAAACTAACGTTTTTCAATTGGCTCTCTACTTGACTAGCCTATTGGTCCCAAGCAAATCGGTTACGTACCCCATTCTAGTCAAAATTCTAGTACTACACTATGTTTGTTTTGATTCGCTATGAAAGTTTGACAGATAAAATGAGGGGTTCGTGGATTTTCCTATGTTTCGAGGGGTGAATCGATTAGCTTGGGACCGAAGAGAGTACCAGAGCTGAGCCAAAAAGTTGAGCTTGTTTCTTCGGGACCTACTAGCAACAATCAATACGAAACTAACGATTTTTAATTGGCTCACCACTTTAGTAGCCTATTGGTCCCAAGCAAACGATTAACGTACCCTATTCTAGTTGAAATTCTATTACTACACTATGTTTGTTTTGATTCGCTATGAAAGTTTGACAGATAACATCAGGGGTGTGTGGATTCATGCACAACATGCAGGGGTGAGTGAAATAGCTTGGGACTGCTTGGGACCGTTGTTCTGGTACTGAGTGAGCCAAAAATAATAATGATTTTCTTCGGGACCCAGTGGTCTTAGAGTTACCTCTATGCTACTAGTCTTAGAGTTACCTCTATGGCTCTAGTATCAGTTTCATTAATTGATCCCTTTTACAGATGTTCCGGATACTCCGGTGGACCAGTAACTGGTCTCTTCGAATTCATTCTGATAAGACGTCTATGAGTGGTTTCGAAAAAAAATCACGGAGCTCTAGGATCAGTTTCATGAATTGACCAGTTTTAAGGATGTTCCTGATCTTACGGTGGACCATCCCGTGGTCTTGAGGGTCCATATTCGTTTCACAACTCCAACTTCATTCTGATAAGACGTCTATGAATGGTTAAAAAAACGCAAAGCTCTAGGATCAGTTTCATGAATTGACCACTTTTACGGATGTTCCGGGTCTTCCGGAGGACTAGATTTATGACTTTCCGGAGGCTAAATTTCCCCAAGTCGTGGTCACCTATCTTGGTAATAACTTTTCAGACGACACCAGGAAGTTATCTCTTCAAAGTACTCTACAATAAGAGTTTGTCCTAATTTAACTCTAATCCCATATGGTACGTGTATTCGTTAATGCCGGTTCTAATAGTAAGCCCAATTAACCGTAGAGTAAAGTGGGGCAAGAGTACACACTTAGTTTTAAAATTCATATATATTTTTTACCGTAAAATGAACTGTTAGTTTTTAACCGTTAGTCAATTTCTTGACTATGCGGCCACAATCCCTTATGGATAGCTATTTAAAAATCATGGTTTTTCTTAAATTGTTGATCGGCGGGGCAAGAGTGTCGATTTTATTAAATGTTTCACAAATGTAAATTTTAATCGAATGAATGCATTCTTCTTCATCTTCACGCACATATTCTGTGTATGACCTCATTTGTTTTCTTTGTTGAAGTATTGAAAGATATTATTTCAATAAATCCTGCTAATTCAAGGTTCCATTCACTTTTTTAAAATCGAAACGATATGTCCACCACTCAAGCCATTCGTGCTCTTGCCCCACTCGAACTCAATATTGAAAAGGGTCTCCCATAAATTACGTCTTTCATACATACGTATCATACATACCATCTTTCATGATACATATAATAAAATACCTATTATATAGACTAATCATAATACTGGAATACTAAGGCTATATTCTTCGTCCACGATATTCCATTGTAATTTTAAAACAAAATGCAAAAATCGAAAAAATACATACTTCTGGTCAGTGATGTAAAATATCATGACACTCACTCGACACTCGTCAACGCATCAACCGACCATCTCTGACAGAACGTTTTGTAACGCAGTGAGAGGTAGAGCCATGGCAAACAACAATCACCAGCAATGGTCGCTGCTCACAGGCCAAACGTAACACTCGCTGCTGATGATGTAAAGCACAACGAAAACAGTCACGGCTTCTGCAATACGGTGATGAGTAAAAACGCAACGACAGAAGCAAATGAAAACAATGCCTACGCATTCCAAGTTCGTCTCGGCACGCGCGACTGTGTGTGTTACAAACAAAGCTGGCAAAATTAAACGGAAGCTGTTGGGTTTACTCACCAACACACTCACATCAGCAAGCAAAGCAGCAACTGCTTCAAAACGAGCCCATATGAGTGTCGTTATTGTCGGCAATGATGGTTCACCACCGAAGACGATATTCATCAGTTGCTTTTTACTTCTTTCGCCAACTTGATGGATGGTCACGGAGAATGCTTCGACAAGCACATTGATATAAATGTACCAAGCGTTACTACCATCAGCTGTTTGACGATCGTGATTGTGATAGGTCGCAACTCTGCTTCTGGTGATAACCTTCAGGTGGATTATTCAAAATACACAATATGTTGCTAGTAAGCTTGTGTTCAGTAGAGGCTTCAAGCCTACTTATAATCATTGGTCCATCATTTCGTTTACCTGCCATTCGAACCAGTGCGTACTTTTGCCGCCTGTGTACTCTTGCCCCACATTACTCTTTTACAGGAATCTTGTCTGTAGAATGTTTTACTCTGTATGTGCATTAGACTGATGCAAAATTTGAAATTTTCGCTCCACAGTGTTCAAACGGTTTCAATTCGGGTCCTGATTAGCCTCCGATAGTTTAAACTCATTTGATAAGAAACTGACTTGGCACAAATCATTTGAAGTTTATATGGAAATTACTATGGGAAACCAAACTTTTTGTTAATCATCTTCTAGCCTTTTTCCATATTGTACTGTCAATAAGTTCTATTGCTATTCTCACGGGAATTTTTATCAGCTACAACTTTGCAGAAAATCGTTTTTCAGCCAAACGTCAAATTAAGCAGTTAATAATTGTTTAAGAGATTGATAATCTTATGGCAAATTTAAGCAACTGTATTGCGGGCAACACTGTATTCTGCAGTGTGACATAGTAGCCATGATTTTTGTTCTCTATTCTACGCGCCAAAAACACCAAAGTTGCCTGCTGAACAGTTGATTGAGCATAATCATAAGACATCAGTAACTTGAATCATTAATATTTTTTGTTCCTTACATTTGATCGAAAAGTGGTCTTGAACAAACTTGTAACTGAGAAAAATTTCAACAAGCGCAGTTATCATTTTCTAAAGTAGGGTGAACTGGTGAATTTTGAGGTAGATATGAACCGGAATTATGCTTTCTCCATAGTAATTCCCATATAAACTTCTAATGGTTTGTGCCGAGTCAGGTTCTTACTACATTAGTTCAAATTTTGGGAGGATAATCAGGACCCAATTTGGAACCGTTTGAGTACTGTGAAGCGAAAATTTCAAAATTTGCATCAGTCTAATGTGCATAGCTAAACTACTAAACTAATTTGTAGATAACAATGTTATTATATTTGTGCCCGGTAATGTAGATGCAATCTTGTAGTCGAAGTCAAACTTGCATATGTCGGTATTGTCTATTGGATGGAAATTAGTTATATTTTATATTTTCAAAATATACTTACTATTACTAGTAGTTGGTAGATGACTTCTAAAAAAACAATTTTCTCAAAAATACTACGTTTCTTACTCTTGTGCTTAACCGACGATGTATCCAATGGCATGATATTTGACAAAATTTAAAATTCTTACGAACAACTTAAAACTAAAAAGCGCACATGTACTGCAACCAAAAACGGTGACTTCCTCATCAAAACAAAATGTTCTTGCAGCCTTATTTAGATATTACAAATGAAAAACTATTCAATTATGAACTCAAAAACTCCAGAAGAATAACAATTTCCAATTCCACTACAGCAAACGATGTAAACATGTCAAATCTTATCAGCTTCCAACTCTTCGCTCTGTAAAACATATTCCTCTAGCTTCACCTTTCCAAATGAATTCAAAAAAAATTACATTATTAAGGATCAGCTTACAAACACGGTCTCGCTCACTATCAGCTACCCATTAGCTTACATCTCAATCTGTGGCCGCCGGCCGTTGGAGTACTCCACTCTTCGCAGTTCCGTCTTCCCAATCGGAGCCGGCGCTGCTTATTGTTTACACTTTGTACCTAAACCCTCTCAACATAATCAAAAGCCAGCTCGCATTATCACCTCACTCGAAAGGGCATCCCTCCTCCGCACTGAGAGAAGACCTCGCCGTATCGCTTCCCGAGAGTAATCGAGTCCCAGTAGGTACCAAAGTACAGAATCCCGCAACTCACTTTCAATCGCTCCCGACATCCTAGTAGACGACGACGACGACGACGACGATAACCACCAAGACGACGACTAGGACGGGTTAAATCCATCACGAGCCGAGTAGGTGATTAATTTCTTCTTTCTCTCCGCCTACTTATTGCAGCTTGAGACGTTGTTGACAGAGAGTGCGCCAAGATGAGCAATCGTCAGCCACCGTCGAATGATGAGCTGGTAAGAATGTGGTGATCCCGCACATGTTATGATTTGGAGGAGTTTGTTGATAACCGAACCATCGCTAATGACACGTTTCCTTTCCATGTCTGTTTCCATTTTTTTTTTGCAGGAGGTAGCCGAAGCTAAGAACCCACTCGTTGACCTGCTGTACGATTACACGGCTCAAGCGCTCATGAGCCGGATCGGAAACTATGTGTACCATCGATTCGATGCCTGTCTGGCGATCGTTGAAAAAACGGCCAAATGGAGCTTACCGCAGCCTCCACCGAGCGAGGAAGACACGGGCAAGACGACGATTTCGGCGCCCCCGTTGGTGCGGCCGTTACCATGGATATTTTTCCTGCCGGCTTTGATTGCGCTGAGATTGCTCCGTTACTCATTGTCATTCGTTGCACTGTTGATAGGGAAACAGCCCGTTTGCCCGATAACCATGGTTTCCTTCCTGCAAAATAGGCGTCGCAAGCTCCGTGCGCTGAAGTATCGTGGCCTGAAGCTGCAGCGAATGCAACGTGCAGAAAAGGAGTCGAAACTGGAGGCCGAGGAACAGCTGGCGAACACGTGGCTCCGGCGGATCACGCTACCCTTGCGATACATCATCTGTTTTAGGGCCGTCCGTCCTGGAACCACGGTACGGGATGGACAGTTTTCTGACAATTCGGCAGCGAAGATTGAACTGCTTGTTTTACAGATCTACCAGCGGGATCATCATCACCATCACCATCATCGACACCATCATCAACGGCCATCGGAACAGCCGGGTGAGTTGGCGGATGAGCCTACCACCGACGGATCACAACGTGCGGAGCCACGTGATCGTTCCACAACTAAGAAACGAAATGCTCACGAACGAGATGCCGATGATAGTGAGAGTTCGTTCGAGGAAGCCTCCGTACAGGAACTGTTGGAGAAGTATGCCAGCGCGGAAGCCGATTCCAGTTTCCATGTGAGTATTGGCTGATCGACCAGCTGCTGTCGGGATGTGTTTTATTGAAAAGAGTATTTTCACTTCACAGGCAAGCGACGTATCGTCAGCGGATTCTGACAGTGACATATTCGAAAGCGACAAATCCCACACGGAAGCAGCCGAAGATGCTGAGAAGAATGATCCGAAAAAGATCAAGAAGGAAAGTAATGGCCATACTGCTTCCCAAGGTAAGGAACCGGAGTCCAAGACGGAGAAGCCCCAGGAGACGAAGCAGAAGGCCTCACTGAACGCCACCGTAGACAAACCGGAAGAGAAGCCGACTGAACCGGCTCCGGAGAATGGCAACGTTGCTTCGAAAAAGGAATTGAACGGTATGATTTGATGATTTTTAACGGGCTTGAATCAACGTTTGATTTTTTTTAACAGAAGAAAAGCCGGCTGAAGCTACTCAGAAACCGACCGCAGCTGAAAGTGAGAGCAAAATAGCCAATCAAAGCAACCCAGGCAAAGAACAACCACCGGAGGACGCCAGTTCAAGGAATGATAATCAAAGTAAGCCATTTGCTGTGTTAACTAGATTTGCTCAAACGAAGATGTCTCTCTTTTATGCAGATTCGTCAAGCAAACAGTCGCCTGCTTCGATGAAGGAAGTCAAGACCAGCTTCCATCAGCGAAATAAACATCAGCAACAGCATCAACCCAATCAACAGCAGCATCAACCCAATCAACAGCAACAACAACAACAACAACAACAACATACGGCAGCCAACGGTGGAGGTGGTGGCGGAAAGAAGCACAAGAAACCCCATCATCACAACACTCAACATAACTGAAGCGTGACAGTTTGCTTTGATTTGATCATTCCTTAGCACGAAGAAACATAACACCTGATCTTGATTATTTCTTTGCATATTGTAGTTTGTTTTTTGATTTCTTAAGCTATGTAAAACTATGTACGTATGATGTTTGATTTGTCAGAATGTGTGATTTTTTGCTTTTTGAGAATATATACTTTTGTAATTGTATGAGTTGGGGTTTGAATAGCTGTGTTGGAGAGGATCTTATGTCTTTTAATGTTTTTGTGTTCTTTAATTTACAAAAATGTATCACTTTCATCTTGATATTTAAATCAACATTTAAAGAAAAATAATAGATTCACTGATTAACACTTAACTAACAAACTGACAGCTCGCTCCCATACAAAGTGACACCGAGGGGTGCTAATAAGGTGATTTTTGCCAATGAAATCGTACTTATATAAAATAGTTCCAGTGTACCAAAATTGATGAAATTTTGGGTTTGGGTTCCATTTTTAATACAGATTAATATGCATTTACCTCAAAACTCTTAAAGAACCCAATTGAATTAGACTATTTTTTTTTATTAATTCCAGTCACTGCGCTCCCTTGAATTTCGAAAAGTTTTTTTTTTTTAGGCTTTATTAAAGAGATTCTTAGCCTTAGGCTAGTTCATCTCTAAATTTTGAAAAGTAAGGGAATTGAACCTGAGTAGCTTGCTGCTGGATACATCGTGCTCTGCTCGTTTCGACATCGATGAAAGTGTCTTTGATCTCTGCGGTGTCTGCAGACATCTGATCCTGATAAACCCGCTGCATTGGCGAGGTTTCAGGAAACCACGGTGAACACGCTACGTGGCAGCCGACAAAAACGTACCGTCGCACTCAAGCGATCGGATGGCTTCACCGATGACCCCGAAGAAACTGCGGAAGCGCTAGCCAGTCTTTACAGCGATATATCTGCGACCTCCAGTTACCCTACTTCTTTTCAGAAGACTAAGGCAGCAGCTGAAAGAGAGTCCATAGATGTTTCGCCAAACACGGACGACGTGTACAACAGCGACATTACCCTAAGCGAACTTCTGTGGGCTCTCGAGAAAGGGCGAATCTGCCTCGACAGGACCCGACATGATAGGGTACCCAATGCTTCGACGTTTACCTTTGTCCGTGAAGATGACACTGCTAGAGCTGCTCAACCGGATCTGGCGTAGTGGAGAGTTTCCCACCATCTCACACAGGGGACAAAATCGAAACAATGTGTTAAAATTCAATAACTTCGGTGCTCGCTAGAACAAGAGACTAAAAAATAGTCATTCTTATAGAAAAAAGTCTCAGGAATCGATTGGAGTGTGTTTCATCTTGGGCACGATAGGGTAAGTTGGGGTTTTTCACAGTGTTGCCCTAAAATCTCCTATTTCGCATGATTTGAATGCTGTATCTCAAGATACCGATGACGGGTGATTTCTTCGGCAAATTTGATCAAGAGATCAAGGACTGTTGGATGATGGACAAAGCAATTCGGAATTCCTCCGCTAGGCGGCGCTAGTGAGCATTCGAAGTGAATATGTTTGCGCTGCTGTATCTCAAGATCCTGACTATTTAGACGGATGATTTCTTGGGCAAAGTTGATCAGGAGGTCAAGGACTGTTGGATGATGGAAAAAACAATTCGGAATTCCTCCACTAGGTGGCGCTAGTGAGCATTCGAAGTGAATATGTTTGCGCTGCTGTATCTCAAGATCCTGACTATTTAGACGGATGATTTCTTCGGCAAAGTTGATCAGGGGGTGAAGGATTGTTGGATGATGGACACAACAATTCGGAATTCCTCCACTAGGTGGCGCTAGTAGTTATTTAAAGTGAATATATTTGTGCTGCTGTATCTCATGATCCTGACTATTTAGACGGATGATTTCTTCGGCAATGTTCAGTGGAACACACTTAACACCACGTAAGAATTAATATTCTACGAAACCCATGCGCTATTTCAATGGTTTTATTGCACCAAAGTTTACCCTAAACATCGATCAAGAAGATTAATGGAAAAGATTTCGAATTATGGATGTAGGAAATTACTGAACATTAAAAAATTACGCGTGAAGGGACTAATAAAAGCAGGTCATTACTGTAGTTTATATTTTAATGGATATTAAGAGACCAAACTTGCTTATATGTATTGGAAAAATCCCAATTTATTCACCTATGGTCTGACCCTATTTACACTCAATATGACTACCAATGATCTTATTTAAAAATTCTCACGTCATTTGATGTGGCACATGATTGATTTAAAAAAAGTCAAATCTGGCCACTTCCCCGGTGCAACCCGGAACATATCCGGATTCAGCAAATCTTGTTCAGGGTACTAGATATCATTGTTATTGAACTTGTTTTCGAATTCTGATGTAGTTTATTGTGTCGCATGATGGGTTTTGAACTTACTCATAAGCTGGTTATTTTTCCTGAGACACTAAGAACTTGTTCCGGCCGTATCTCTGGAATTGTATGACCAATTTTGAAACTATTCCGTAGCGATCTATGTAACCATAATCCCGAGCAAAGTAAAATATCAAATTGATAACAAGTTCTATGACCCGGTCATCACTTTTTGATAATGTCCTGCAAAATACCTCAGCGGCGAAACCTGCCCAAACATGTTCAAGGAGCTACTGCGCATCGTTCTTGATCTATTTGGATGTATATAAGAAGCTCAAGTGACGTTCTAGGTCATCCAAAGAATTCTGTAGTTTAGAACATTTGGCCTACACAATGTCCTCAGCGTCGAAACTTGCTCAAACATGTTCAAAGAGGTTCTGTACATCGCTCATGATCAGTTTGATGTATATATGATGCTCAAGGTTCACCAAATTGTCCTTGATCTCAGATCAAATAATGTACCAGGTCAGTCATAACCGGTACAAGGCCCTTACTGCCGTGAGATGACAAAGTGACGTAAACGCCACCATGGCCAATTTTCACTTTTCTTCATATTCATAATCTATACCCTAAGATACACCAGAAAACACTCTCTTCGTGATAAAAATGTGTTTTGGAAGCCTGGAGACATAGTGACGTAACCATACATTTTCGGAGAAAGAGTAATATGTTTTCACTGTTTCTACGGATAAGTGACGTCCACCATATAAGAATGTTGAAAATTCAAAAGAAGTTTTAAACAGTGAGGTTCATATTTTCCGCTTAATTTTGACATTTTTTAACAGAATGAAAATTTTTCTGGCAAATTTTTGCACCCAGGTCCATGACTATAATGCACATCATTTTCGTTGTAATTGATGGTGTATGAGATGTTCTAGGTTCTCCAAGTTGCTTTGGAGTTCAGATTATTTGATTTACTGGCTCAACCATGAACTGCACGATGTCCTCAGCGACAAAACCTACAAAGACATGTACATAAAGTTTCTGCGGATCGGTTTTTGATAAATTTTGATTTATAATCAAGGTTCTCCAAATTGTCTTGAGCTCAGATCAAATGATTTACCTGATCAACCATAACTGATACAAGGTCCTTAGCAACTAAACATCTCCAAAACAACATCAATTTAAGGTGCATTAGAAGTTCTAGGTTCTTCAAATTGTTCTAGAGGTCAGATTATTTGATCTACTGGATCAACTGAAATCTGCACGATGTTCTGCTGTTCATTTAAAGTTGATTTTGAGGTGTATAAGATACTCACGGTTCTCCAAATTGTCCTTGAGTTCAGATCAAATTCTCATCCAGGTCCACTGATTCAAAGCCCTTTGTATTAAAACATCTTCAAACAGGGTTAAACATATCATGCACATTATTTACGTTTGAATTCGATATGTTTAAGACGTTGTAGGTTCACCAAATTGTCCTCAAAACTTGTTTATTAGGCTACCATCTCGCATTTTAGTTTGATTACATTCATAGATCAGGGGGCCTCCATAAGCTCGGTCGGTAGAGCCTGCGACTATAAAGCAAACCATGCTGGAGGTTGGGTTCGAATCCCGGTTGGTATAGGATTTCAGATTGTAAAATTTCTCGACTTCCCTGGGCATAGTTTATTATTGTACTTGCCACACAATATACACATGTAAAAATTGAACATGCTTGGAAAGCTTTCAATTAACAACTGTGGAAGTGCATCTAGAGCACTAAGTTGAGAGCAGGCGTTAAGTTACAGTTGGGACGCAATAGCCAGAGAAGATCATAGATAGCACTAACTAGCGGAGGAATTCCGAATTGTTCTGTCCATCATTCAACAGCCCTTGACCCCCTGATCAACATTGCCCAAGAAATCATCCGTCTAAATAGTCAGGATCTTGAGATACAGCAGCACAAATATATTCACTTACAATAATCACTAGCGCCACCTAGTGGAGTAATTCCGAATTGTTCTGTCCATCATCCAACAATTCTTGACCCCCTGATCAACTTTGCCGGAGAAATCATCCGTCTAAATAGTCAGGATCTTGAGATACAGCAGCACAAACATATACACTTCGAATGCTCACTAGCGTCGCCTAGCGGAAGAATTACGAATTGTTCTGTGCATCATCCAACAGTCCTTGACCTTCTGATCAACTTTGCCGAAGAAATTATCCGTCTAAATAGTCAGGATCTTGAGATACAGCAGCACAAACATATACACTTCGAATGCACACTAGCGCCGTCTAGCGGAAGAATTCCGAATTTTTCTGTCCATCATCTAACAGTCCTTGACCTCCTGATCAACTTTACCCAAGAAATCACCCGTCTATATCATCGGTATCTTGAGATACAGGATTCAAATCATGCAAAATAGGAGATTTTAGGGCAAAACTGTGAAAACCCCCAACTTACCCTATCGTGCCCAAGATGAAACCCACTCCAATCGATTCCTGAGACTTTTTTCTATAAGAATGACTATTTTTTAGTCTCTTGTTCCAGCGAGCACCGAAGTTATTGAATTTTAACACATTGTTTCGATTTTGTCCCCAGTGTGCAGCTGGCGAAATGCAATCGTGGTGCCCATTCCGAAGCCAAACTGCCTCGATACCGGACCCGCTGCGTTCCGTCCAATCTCGCTCACCAGCTGCATGGCGAAGCTGCTTGAACGCATCATAAATCGACGACTGATCACCGAGATTGAGTCGAGCGGGCGACTCGACAAACGACAGCACGCTTTCCGTGCCGGGCGAGGCACCGACACATACTTTTCCGAGCTCGAGAGAACGCTTCCAAGCACAGACGAGCACTGTCTGATAG